CCTGGTCTTCGGACAAACAATGAACCATCAGACGCGCGACGCGCGCGCGCGCGCACGTCACCTCAGCAAGCCAAAGCGTCTTCAACACGGCTGTGGAAGAGCCACTTTCTGTGAGTGGCCAAGGCGAATCCCCTAAGTGATAAAGTATAGTCACTTTGACATCAACCACATTTGGTATCCTCACTTCCGCCTGAGTTCCCAGATTTTATTCAATGTTTGGTTCAACAACAGTTTGGTCATTTTCTGGCCGGAGTATATTGCCGCTGCAACCTGGTAGAAAGCTTAAGCCACCCCTGGTGTTGGGTGTCCTGGCCCGCGGGCCCGCGATGCGCAAGGAGCGCCTCGCCTTGCATTTGCCGGAGCTTCTGATGGGAGCCCTGAACCAGCTGGACTTGGAGACGTGCGGCGCCCAGAAAACCGCACAGCGAGGTGGGATTTGTCACCCTTTTTCAGGTCCCTTTTCAAATGCCCTTTGATGGTTTTTAAAATTTTATGGCTGCAAACAAATGTGCCAAGATACGGAAAGGAGCTCATGCGGCGTGAGGCGCGACCTGGTTTTGGTGTATTGGTTTGTGGGTGTGTTAGTTGCTTTTTTGGGTTTGTGTGGAATTGGGCTGGTTTGGATTCGATCGGATTGGATTAAGGAGTGAAGGGGATTGGATTGCTTCCTTGCCTGCTTGCTGGCTGGCTTGCGTTTGACTGGTTGCTTGGTTGGTTGCTTGCGTGCGTGCTGGCTTGCCAGATTGCTTGGGGTTGGTTTGGTTTGGATTGGTTTGTTCGTTTGACGAACTTCCACCAATCCCTCCGACAATTCCGGCGGAGGAAAGCAGCCGAAGGTTCGAAAGCACACATCCCAAAGAGAAGCGGGTGTGAGTGCGTGCGTTTTGGAGGGTCACCTTGGTCTACTTCGCGAGCAAATGAACCCCAAGAAAGGTCTCTCCGGAGACGATTCCTCTAAAGATGGCTTTTTGGGCTCCACGTTGATCTGCTATCTGGTTTTTTTCATTATTTGTTTTTTTTTTTGAGGGGGGGTGCTCCCTACTTCGCAGACACACACACGCACGCACATGCCGAGTGTCCAACAATGGGGCCCCTTTTCGGCACCCTGGCAACAGCTAATTTGGAGGTAGCCAAGGAGCATCAGCCTTTGGTTAGTTTTGATCGGGGGATGGCCCCTTTTTCAGGGGAACCTTCAGTCTCTTTTTTGTTTGGTGATTTCGTCTGTTTTGTCAGGTGGGTGAATCATCATGCTCATACTGTATCCAGAAGCCTCCATTTTTTTCGCGACCAATGTCACCCTCAACCAACAATGGCTGCTGGACATAGTCCCCATGCGAATGACGCCTTGTTCGCCATGAACAATCATGCCTAGATTTCGCGCCGCCTTTCATTCGGTACGAGTGACGGTCCGTACTTTCGCTTCGCGGCGCCGTCCAAGATGTCAAAAACTGGCTGCTAAGACACCCCTACCTTTAAAAGACCCACGCGATGGACATTTGGCGGTTCAACATATTTTGGGCAAACTGTTAGACTTGGTCAAAGATGCTATAGGTTTATTTGGCCCATTCGAGTGGCTTGTTTGGGCGTCTCTTTCCGAAAGTCTATCTTGGGTTGTTTTGAAGAGAAGCGAAGAGGCACATCCATTTTGGGCGGATTACCCCCCTCCCATTTTGGAGACAAACCACATGGCTCTTGTTTGACATGGCATTCTGGCCGTCTGGCAGACCCGAATTGGGAAATCCAAACACGGAACCATCTCTCCCATTGAAATTTTTCAGGGGGGGTACCAATTTTGGGTCCATATCCCGTTGAGAGAAGGCCAAAGTCCCGAAATTTGATCTTGTTGAAGCCACGACCTCCCATTTCTCGACTTTATGGAGACACCCAAGTTTTCTCCAATCTACATGAACCCCCCCGGCGAGCAACCCGGACACCCGCTGAGCCCCCCGAGGATCAGCGAGATCGTCGCCTCCCTTCCGCCGCTCCCGGAATCTGACCTGCGATTTCGGGAGCAGGAGATGAAGGGATCAAGGTCCCATGTTATTATCCCAAACCCAGGGATGGTTCATTTCCCAAAAAGAACCCGGATTCCCCCAAAGAAATGGGAGAAGCCCCCAGTTTGGGTTCATGAGCCGGGAACACATGGGTTCCCAACCAAACACAGACCCCAAGAGCTTTTTCCCTGGAATTACTGCACGAAAACTAAATCGACACTTCCGCGAGGACCGGGCGGATGTTCAGAGCTTCGCATACGGTGCGCCAGACGCCCAGACACCGACGCGCCAAGCGCTCGTCCAGCGCTCTCGCCGGCTCGCCGACGCGCGCTCGCGCTTTCGGTGAGGCGGAATTTGTCCTGCTGCCGCTATGCCCTGGCCAGGCACGGCTTGCAATGCTGACGTGAACAGCCCGGTCAGTGTGCTTGTGCGATTCTCATAGCGGGACTCCTTTCACAAGGCGTTGTGACTCAGGATGTTCTCGGGTCCCGATTGCGCAGGGCAGTGCTTTCTACGCTGCCGCACCCGCGACAGAGGCTCTCGTTGACATGCATTCAGCTGATTCAGAGCCATAGTGCGGGGAGCCATTGCAGCCTAAGTACCTATCAGTGACTTAGTGACGAATAGTGGAGGGCCCCCAAACTTTCCCTTGGCGCACCTTATGGCTCTGAATCAGTATTTCCTGCTGGCCTGTTTTGCGCAGGGCTGGTTCTCGCATCACGGCGACTGTTAAACCCGCTGGAAGCGAAGCATTCGTCGTTGGGCTTTCCGACATGCCAGCGATCGTCTCAGAGCAAGTCAATGGGAGGCCAGTGGATTCTTCCTGAATGCAAGCAAACCACATGGGTATGTCAAAAGGAGCGGCCCCTCAAAATGGCTGATTTCATTTTGGAACGATGCACGGGTACCCACCCAGGTCTCAAGTCCCGAAACCTCTCCATTCGCCGAAGCCGCTTCAGCCAAGCGGATTTGGCGAGGCTGGCGGACCGCTTCGAGCAGGCGATCTTGGACATGCGGGGGGTCCAAAGCCGGCCAAAGGCACAAGGTGAGTTGAACCTGCCGGGGTTCCTTCTATCGCACCTCATAAAAAGGCACTCACTTGTAGCTGGCCCTGGTCATACTTGAAAAAAAGAGAAAGATAGAGACCCCGCCAACACTTGTCAACCTTATCTTGGATGCTCCTGGGAGAGGATTTGTCTTCGGGAATCTTGCCTAGTTTACAAGGGTCTGCAACTGTGGGCTCAGGGCGGCCCTATGCGTTCCTGGTTGTGGGTGTCTCTTGGAACCAGCAAGAGAAGTTTTGTTTGTGGACTTCCCTGAATTATCCCGCTTAACCCATGGAAGAACAAGTTACAAAAGCCAGCAGTAACACCAGAGAACCAGGAAAGTGGCGGCGCACCTTGGGATCAACGTACCGGTTTACTAGGCAACCGTAAGGGTCGGGTAGACCCGATCGGACGCGGGGAAAGCAGCCAACATAGAATTCGAACATGTTGAAAGACAGCTACAGGGGGATGCAACGGCAACAAACCAACCAGTTTCAGAGCTTAATACTCCATGGGCACTGGTGGGATTTCAGCCCACAACCTCTGCGTCTGGGACCAGCCCGCGAGACAGCGCGCTGCCATTGCGCCACAGGCCCTTCCATTCATTTATGTGGGCGCCGCCAACTCCCCCGTCCATAGCTGGTAATCTGGAAAGGCCCGCCCATTTGCAGCGTATGGTGGGGGTTTTGGCAATATGTGCCCGTTTATTGTTCAACCCATCCGCTAGCTCTAGGCTGCAGGGCAGAGAGGCCAACGAGTCCATCCTGCGGCAGGAGGGACGTCGGTGCTATGATTTGTCCACCATCCAGACATGGAGCCTCCCGCAAATTATCAAGCAGCAGGAAGTGAAAGGTGTGATGCCAATCGCAGTGGATCCAACTACCAAGGAAAGCTACCATGTTAAACCTGGAGGCCTAGAGTGCCTAGAGGGACAACTGGTTACGCCTCGCTGCCAGGCGCTTCGAAGGCTGCTCCCGGATGCGGAAAAAAAAGCAAGCGGAGATCGACTGATCGGCTGGGACTGGGCTTCAGATGAGCCACGCCCGTCAACCGATTCGGGTAGATCAGGAAGGGTTAGTGAGGGATAATTTGTTTCTTGCTATAAATGGGTGCCTTCGCCGCCTTACTTCTTTACATGGTTCTGGGTAGACCATTCCAGTAGGTTTGACTATGACTCAGATCAATTTGGAGGACCTTACTGGCCATATGACCTGTGAATTCGAGGAATTCTTCCCAACAGATCTATGGGGGCATTCCGGTCACACTGACAAGTCTTTGCTTTATGCCACTCCCTGAGATCCGTTTCAGACTTTTGGGGTTTAAACCAAGAGTTCAGGCTTCGCTCTTCCTGAGATCAATGAACTCTGGAAGGAGCCGGACTTGCGGATATGGGGCTTCTCAAACGGGGTATGCAAAATAGGGATTTGGGCCTCAACAAATTTGACGGTTTCAGTTTGGTTTCCCTCTAACTAACCCCCCCCAAGAGGCCACCCAAATTTGGCCTTCGGCACTAGTAGCCGAGATGGCTCGAAAGCACTCTCAAGGGAACCCTCTCGCTCCAAACAATCTCAAACAAGGAGAATCACGTTTGGGCAATTGCGTCTTGTTTTCGGGACCCCCTTCTGGTGGCTTCTCTGTTGATTTCCCTTAGAGCTTAGGGACGGTCATCGACCCTTTGGGAATGTTAGATGTACAGATTCCTGCCAACGGAACCATGACCATAACCCACAGTTCGGGAGTTTTGACCATGGCACATACCCTTTTGATCTGGAGTGAAAGGACAACCACCCATGTTAGGGGTCTCTATTTTAAGAGACACTCATAATACACACACATACACATGTATACATATATATATATATATACACACATATATATATATATATATATTATTAACCCAAACGTCAGCTCGGGCTTGGAACACGCTGACTTGAGCTTCGTTTCGCGCAAAACCGCCGTCGCCGTCCACTGCTCTCCGCTCTTTGCGGTCCACCACAGGTATCGCAGTATCGACGTTGCTTGGCTTTAGCAGGTGTTGGTCCAAAAGACGCGACTAAAACCCCCATCTGAATGTTCTACCTGGTTTCATCTATAGTTAGGGCCTTTACCATCTTGAGACACAACATTTGCTCGGTTGAGGTTGATGGGACAGCATAGACCTAGACCACTGGGGTTATGCACACCGGGAAGAATTTAGGATTTAGACAAGCGGGTATACGAGTACTGGGTCAACCAACAGAGAAACAACAAATGGGTTCCTTTTCAGGGGAGCTAGCCCCCAGATTTTGGGAGTTTGGATCGGCTGGTACGAGGTTGGGGGCGCGTTTTAGGCAAAATGAGCAATGCCTCTGAAGACGGGACGACGCGCAGCTGAGGCTTTGATTCGTTCCGGGCCAGGCTCGGCGGCACAGCTTCGCGGACTTGCATTGGTGCCCCTTTTGTGCCTTTTCAGGGGCGGTTGGGAAAACTTGCTGCTGCTCAGCAGTGAATGAGAAATAGAATGACCCCGAACAAAAACCATCTGACTGGTGATTTCCTTTAAGGGGACCAATTCCTGGGTTTATGCCATTTCTCATTCCCTACCTATCGCACCAGCAAGAAAACCACGACACACCTCTTCGTTTCGCCACCTTTTCGCCGGTTTCCACCGCACCCGAAGACCATCTCTCCAGGCTGGCCCTAGGCGCTCAGCAGAGAGAGGCGGCATAGGCGGGAGTCATTCGCTATGGGGACGGGGACAAGGCTATCCCTTCGATTCAGGCCCCCTTAGGGGTCCATGAAATTTGTTCAAATGCACGCCTGTTGCATAACCCCCCCAATTGCCTTCCGCGTTTAGTGTTCGGACCGCAGGGGACGCTTCTGTGCAAAACTGCTCCGTGTCCTCACGCAACGATACAGAGCGAAAAGCGATATTAATGATTCTGGGAGGCTTGTCAGCCGGAAGGGGAAACACGAAACAGCTTGCAGGGTATCAAAAAGGGAAGACTTGATACCTGAAAATAACAATAACAACGATAGCAAAACGATCACGTTGTTCAAAGAACTTGGCTTTTTGAGGACCCTCTTCACATCCCCACGTTGTCCCTTTGCAATGGCTTAAAAGTTGCGATATTCCTTTTGCATATTCGAGCCGGAGCTGCCAATGTGTATTTTTGTGTACTACACTTGTCATGAGCACTTGCGATGTTGGAGCTGGACCTGCTACAGAACTTCCTGCACCCACATGTGTGGCAAAGCCTGGGGTTTGTTCCCGTGACACGACAAAGAGAGAAAACATGACAGCCAAAACAGGCAATGACCAAATGACGCGGGCTTTTATACTACCTCATCTGCGACCTGGCGTTTGCTTCATGTGTTCCCCTTCAGAAGGAACTCCACATACGCAGAAAGAAAAGCAGCCAAGGGAAAACCAAGCATATCCAAGCATTCGTTTCGCTAGCTTTTCTTGTTGCGGTCTCCCCCCTTAGGGGGTGCCGTGATTTTGGGCGAGGTTAAGCGCAAGGCAGGACTCGCGCCAGGCGACCGAGACCGAGTCGGAGAGCTGCCCAGAAGGCGGGTGCGTCAAGGTGCGTTGAATCAAGGAGCGTGTTTTTATCAGGTGCCCCAAGCGCTTTTTTTTCTCCGGATTTTGTCCAGGTTCTTTTTAGAGAGGTCGGGGCATGTAGGAAACCTGGGTCCCTTGTAGGGTGGGGTGTTGTGAGGTGTTGAGTTGAGAAATGGCCTCATCCGCTTATGTGGTTTCTTTATCCACATCTAACAACCCACCTGGAATTGACTTTCATTGCTGACTTGATTGTTCGTGTACGTCAGGCCTGCTGGCTATAGAAGAGGAAGCAGGTGGGGAGCAAAACATTTCGATGCTGCGAGCATTCATTTCGCGCCAGGAGCTTTCCAGAGACTTTGCAGCTCACGAAGGACGTCGCTCGAACATTCTGCCACTGGGGACGTATTAACAGGGCTCCTTAAAAGATACATGTTGCCCATTTGAAACATGGCTTTTGTCCACCAAAATAAAGGGAAACCACCATTTACAAGGCAATGTTCAGGTGTACAATGTAAGGATCCCTGGTTAGCCGTGACTTTGCGCATGTGGATGGCAGTGGCAGGTTTGTGACGATCAGAGAAGACCAGAAGACCTGCCTGACGTGGCGACTTTTGCATTTCCCTTGTGCTGCCCTGAGCCTGCTCCTTGCGCTGACTGCTTCGAAAGTGTTTCTGATTTCCCAATGAGTCCCTTAAAGTGTATTTTGAGGCTCTTCAGGATATCACTTCAATGGACCTAAAACATGGCAGTACCGCTCTGCGCAGTTTGCAGGAAAGATGAATAGATTTTCACAGATGCTGCCCAGCAAGCAGGAGCTTGTACGTTGTTCTTCTGTGTGTGAGTGTGCCAAGATCTGAAGTATACAAGCAACATCAGCATTACACGTTGATTGCTGCCCATGACTGGCTTCAGAAGCCTCTGACTGCTAGCGTAATAGGATAAAATGACATCCCATTTGAGCAGCGCCATAAACCCTGGCAATACAAAGTGGTAAAGGGGAGGTGTCCCATATGAAGACGAAAGGCGCGGCATGCTTCAGCTTTGAGTGAGGAGCTGTTTTTGCACTGATCCCTTGCATGAGTTTTCGCAGCTAGATTTGATAAATGTGAGATCGCAGCAGGTGATCAAGAACCCTGCCCCGAAGAGGTTCCTTTCGAGGATTCTTAGATGTTTTGGGACGAATCGCTAAATGGTGAAGAATTTTAGGAAACCCAGATCCCAGTGAATATCACAGGTGCGCCATTTTCCTTTTGGCCTCGGGGCGATTTTCTGAAATATATCGCGAGGAAACATCGAAGCCTATGATGTTTTTGTTTTTTTTTTGGTTAAAGCCACACACCACAGATTTCCAACAAAAAGGCACCCATATATGTCAGTCGAAAAACCCAAAAACACAAAAACGAAACCCGCGAAAGCCAAAACGCAGGCCGCGCAAGCTTGCGAAAGCTTATCGCGAAAGTGCCCAAAGAAGGTCCCGCCGCCAAAGCCCTGCGAAAGCCTGCATGTTGATGATGAGCGGGAATTGTTTTTCAGAGTCTTGCATTCGGCGCGCACTGCCGTTTGTCAAACTCACTTTGCAAAAAGGCCAATGGCCATCGTCAAAGGGAACCTGAAGCATTTGAGCTCATGCAGTCCAAAAGGATTGTGTGTGTTTCAATCAGTCCGCCGCGAAAGTGCCCACATATATCCAGTAGTCGAGTCTGCGGGCCATTTGGCCAGAGCATGGGACACCACAGTTGCCACACAAAATCAGGGGACTCGCTCATTTTCCCATGTCATTTCAATTAGAGTGTTCTTCAGGGCAACAGCTCGTTTTGACCGCTGCAGATCTCAGCTATAAAGACAATGGGGTCCCAAATTTGACGACACCCTGGCCCCCTCGTGAGGCAAGAAGGTGAACAACATGTCCAGCCTTGTGATGGAGGACACGAAATCGAGCTGAGCATTGCCCGTGGCGTTTGCTGGAAGTCCCCTGCGTCTCTGAATGTTGCAGGTGTCAATCAACTGTCCAGAAGTGAAGCATTGTCTTTTTTGGGGCCTGTGGTTTCTTTAAGAGACACATCCAACAGGAACCCTGACAGGGAAGTGGGAAGTCTGGTTTAGAGCCGCTTTCTGTGATGCTCAGGGAACGCCCTCTCAAGAGACCATTTCGTGGCTTCAGTTGATTCTTGGCGGTTCAAAGTGGGCGATTGTTGAACATCCTGACCTTTTAGGTAAAGGGAAATACACGGGAACCGGGTCGGGCCGCTTCTGGCAACTCACCTTTTGGCCATGGACGTACGCAGGGTGCAAACCCGGCGCTCGGTGTTGGCCTTTCTTTGTTGCCTGGCCACGGTCGGCCACTTCAGTGCCGGCCATGGTGCTTTCGTTGCCGCCGGCCGAAGGGGCCGAAGGGATGGGACGGCTCGGACGGCTCAGACAGCTCTCTGCGCGTCAGGTGCGGTTCCACCGCTGAGGTACCTCGGCGATCCTGATCTGATGCAGCCTCAGCCAGAGGTGAACGAGGCAGTGCAGGGTAAAGAATTTCAAAGTCGCTTGAAGATCCTGCGAGAGGCCATGGGAACTTACGGAGGTATTGGCATAGCAGCACCCCAAATTGGATGGTGGGTCCGTGCGATGTGCTTCGGCATCCAAGATGGCAATCCGCGCTATCCTGCGGCGCCGCCAGTGCCTTTCCAGTACTGGATCAACCCAGAGGTCACTTGGTCCAGTGAGGAGACCAGTTGGATGTGGGAAGGCTGCCTATCCGTGCCAGGCATGCGAGGCTGGGTGGAACGACCCCAAGCGATCCGCATGAAGGGTCTGGATGAGACCGGCGAGGCAATGGAAGTGCACTTCAGGGGTCTACCAGCTCGAATCGCGCAGCACGAGTTGGATCACCTGGATGGGGTCTTGTTTCCCTCGAGAGTTGAGAGCGCCAATCTCCTGGTGCCACATGCCGTTTTCGAGGGCAAGGAGACGTGGGCAGCGGATTGGCCCACGCCTGGAGCCTTCCGGACGAAAGCTGGAGACTTGTCGCTGGAGAAGTGAGGTGATCCGCAATTCACTGAGATGCTGTGACTAGGTCCTCCAGTAGTGCCCTTTTACCCTTCTTTGGGTGAGGGTTCCCCTATTAAAATAGACTACAGAAAAAAGGGTACCCTACTGGAGGACCTAGGTGAGAATGGTCCATCATATTCCAGACCAAAGTGTCAAGGGGAATTGTCTATTTAAGTGAGAGACAGCCAATGAGTCTTGCCGCACCAGGCAATATAACTGGTTAGCAACCACCAGCAACCACATTTCGAACTTCAAGCCTATGTGAGATAGTCAAGCGACTTTGACTAGATATTGTATACTACTGTGGATGGACGAATCCTGCACCACTTGGAAGCCATGGGAAACCATTGTCTATGGGCATTTACAGGGAATTCATCATTCCAGGGTTTCTTAGGTGGTGCAGGATTTCCTCCATCCACAGTATGTAATGCCTTGTTGTTCAATCATATACGGTTCATGTTGCCACATTTTTCCCATCAAGCATCCTCAATATGCCAGCACACCTTGGATATACATTCATACACCATCTTTCACCATATGCATATATACAATATGACATATGTATATATATATGTATGTACATACAGAAGGGAATCCAGTAACCCCTGCCAGTTTATGATAGTTTGGAGAGTAATACCTGATAGTTTATGGTTTGGAGGGGAGTATCCGCATATACAAAAAAAACCCGGCCATATGGCCTACGCACCCACGGGTTGGCAGGACATGGGTCGAGTCCTGCCGAGAGACTCGCCCTTTGTCGGGTGCCTGCGCCATGCGCCGCAGCAGGCCGGGCCGGAACCGGGGCCCCCGGAACTTGGGGGGGGGGGAATTTTTGGGTTGGCTCATTCCCCCTCAATAGTGGAGAGCCCCTACCTAGGGGTAGCAAACAACTGAAACTTTGACCCTTAAATACCTTTTGAGTCTGTCACTTGAGCAAATCCACTCAGGAATTCAACATTGTGGCTTGGTTTGCAGTTCTTTTGGGGGGGGGGGAAAGGGGGAAGGCGCGTTCTCAGTTTTTTGGGCGGACCCCCCTCGACCCCGGTTCGCCAGATCCTCATGGGCCACCTGGACCGGCTCATGCGGCGCCGAGTGCCTGCGGAGCTGGCGCTCGGCCCAGGCCAGCGAGCGACCGGGGACGTGGAGATGACCCCCCGCGGAACATGTTGGATGGGGATTGAACCCCACTGATGATGAATGTTGATAAAGAGTTTAGGGACCCTTCGGACACTTGGCTTTTGACGTTGACCTTATATTATTTCAGGGTCGGTCTTTGAATGTCCTTGGAAGGCTTTGCTTACAACTTGGTTTGTTCTTTTAACTTCTTGGACTTGGACATTGGATGCCCCTCTGACGTGGCGCAAGGCCCTTGTCGCCTTCAAAGGGAAACAAGGCTGTTTGCGTGGAGTGTAAACATTTGCGGGCCCAAGATAGGTTCGGTTCCTACGTGGTTTCACCATAGAAGCCTCTGTAGCCATGTTGGTAGAACCAAGAGTCAGCCCTGGTTTGAGCGCTGCTTCTGTGTTTTTGGTTCAAGGGGTTGAATCGTCCAACCCTGGTCCAGGCTTGCAAAGGTAGGGCACGAAAGCGTTCGGTCAAGCAGACTATGGCTCATTGGGATGACCGCTTGGGACGACGAGCAACAATGTCCTACCAAAAACCAGGAACTCTCTGAATTGCAGACGTCTATAGACGGGATGGGCACAATTTACACTGCCCATGTGCAGGGGCCATCAGTTTTCCCATGAGCCACAATCAAGTCTGATTCAGGTAAGTGAAGGTATTTGTAAGGGATAGTTCCATGACCGGAAATTGCCGCGGCTTTCCGGCGACCTCTTCTAGTTCTTTGCAAGGTTTCGAGTAGACCGTTTTATTTGATTCTGTCTCACATGGTATGTTCTTTTCACTCCGCGAGCTCCTGGCACCTGCTTTGCAGATCCAAGCGACTTCACAGAGGACAGGTTTTTGAAGAGAGAGAGTTGCAGGTTCTGGGAGACAAGTTCCAGGACAAGTCCAGGAAGCTATCCAAATACAAAGCACAACAAGGGACTTGGTGAGTTTTCTGGATGCTTTCCTGGAGTGTCTCTGAGACTTGTCAGAATTGTCGGTTTTGGGTTGCCAATGTTTGTGCTCCAAGGGAATGCCCTTTGATAAATGAGTCATGGTTGGATAAGAATGCCGCTTCGATGGCACAGAAAAATGCTTTTCCCACAACCACGGGTGCCGATGGTGCAATGAAGCGGAGTGGAAAGGACGCTGATTTTCCTGAATGAAGCAGTTGGATGCGTGTCGATGAGGAGCGTGCATTCTCTACCTACGACAGGTGGGGCGTTCTGACTGCGAGATGTTTGTGAACTTGGCGTACTGAGCTTCAGTCGCTGTCAAACGGGACTGTACGGTATGCAAAGCAAGCGGCACGGGCGGCATAAGCCAGGTATTGACACTTCCCGGGGATGATTCATCGCCATCATCGCCTTTTGGTTGCCATTTGGATATGAGTTTCCTTTGGAGGGGATACTTTTATTTTAGGTTGGACATATGGGCCAAGGGCTGGTCGACATCAATCCCAAGGTAAATGATGTCCACCACCGGCTCTGCAGCCAAAATCAAGTGTCATGTGGGGACTCAGAAGATTATCGGTGTCCTTTTTGGTTGTTTTGGTAGGAAAATAAATGGCCCTGGTTTACCTGCTGGTTCAATCATCTACCAGGGCCATCTATTTGCTAAAAGGACACCGGGACTGACAAGACGCATTTTGCCGGCCAGTGCGAAGAAGTTGCCATCCTCCTCTCCGTCGGCTGCTCAGAGCTGTCGAGCCCGGATTCGAGTGGATTTGCGGTAGGAAGGGCCTGGGTGCCGGTGGGGTCGGTGACTGGTTGAGAGATGGATGCCTTTGACACCTGTCAGGCAACCTTTTGATAAATAGTTGGTGGTTTGGATTGGTGGTTTGGATCTGAATTTGAACCCATGATGAGAAAGCACCCAACCTCCAACCGATTGGAGGGAAGCGGAGCCTCTTCGGGTTACTTGAAAAGGGAAGCTAACACCCAGCCCCATTTCGACAGGGTTGCGCGTGGTCTCAAAATCAGAGAACTGCAAGTTGCTCACATCTTCTAGTAGGGGCCCGGGCTAAATTCTGACCTTTGTGACAGCGTCTTTGGAGCAATCCCGATTTGGAGAGAAACTCGCAAGGGTTGGGCTGGCCACTTGTATCCTTTTGGCTTCACGACCAGGGCCTGGTTGAAAGGTTGCCCAATCCTTGCAGTCCCGTGAGGTACGTTGGTTTTCAACGCCATGCACCGCCATCTTCCCCGGCTCTGTCCTTTGCAGCGCAGAGCTCAGACGACCTGATCTGGGGGCATTCGGAAGACTATTCTCCTCTAAACGCGACTCTGGTAGGTTCCGTGTTGGTCGGGAGGGGATGGAATCCATGTTTTTGAGTTTGAGCTTTACCCTGCTTCCCAAGAATCATGGAAGCTGACATGGTTTTGCAAGACAAGCATCTCCTTCATGGCTGGTCATTGGTCTGACCTTGGTCTCTTGAGCCATTGAATGATGGCATTTCGACTAAACCTACAAAAGGGTTAGAGCTTTTGCTCGGATAAAGTGTACCCCAGTCTTGAGACCCCAAACCTCCACTTTGAATGTTTGTTGGACAAAGGGTAGCGCCTAGCATCTGATCTTCTGCAGAGAATACAGCGAAGTTCTCGAAATAGGGATCGGACCCCTAGAATCGTTGGTCCGGTGTCCTTTTGGTTTCCGTTTAAATAACAACCGACGTGGGGGTACGAAATCCGTTTTGCGAAATACTTGGCTGACCCCCAGACATTTGCCGCCTGTGCCAGGATTCGGCCGTCCGACCTGGGTACTTTCGATTGCCAGGAGGCGCGCCTGTGCATTTCCTAAGGTGCGCTAAGGTCACGTGTCATTCCCAAAATCTGATCGCCGATTCACATTGGAGGTTCTAAAATCAGAAGAATCTCGTTTTGGGAAAGCTGTTTGGTTTTGGTCCATTTGCTGGCTATACATGGCGGCGCCGCGTGGCCCTCCGCCACTGTGTTGTTGTTTTAATCGCATTTGCAAATTAAACCCACACAGGAAAATTTCTCATGGTTGGATCGTTTCCAGATAAACCCATTGCTATTTTGAGAAATTGTTCGAATTTGCCCAAGGGTGTAATCCCAGGGTGTAGTAGAACCATTGCTAGATAAATTGGGGAGCCCGGGCGCGGTTGCAACTGCCTCAAACGCGATGCGGATCCCCTCTAAATTAAGAGGAACCCTGCTTCTCCGCCAAGGGTCCATTCATCCTAGGTTTGCATTTCACATTGGGGGGGCTTCATTTGTTTTCATCGGGCTTTCACGAAAAAATGCAACCACAGGAATGGCGTAGTTCCAGCATCAGGCACATGTCCAAGACAAGAACTGGACGCCAGGTGGGGTTGCACGTGTTTGCACGTCCCCAAAGAGCCCGGCCCTTGCGAGGCGTGCCGGAACTTGATCTCAAGGACCTTGTGGCGCTGGGACGTTTCTGGGAGAGGAACCAACCTGGACGAAGCGGTCTAATTCGGAGAAAATTTGAGCCATCAAGTGGCGACCCCCATACCCCCGCATGACTGCAATGACTGCAGAGAAGCTGTTTAAGTCGGTCAAGACTAGGGTCACGTGAGCAACTGCCAGAATCGCTGCTAATTTTGTTCGTTCTACCCGGACGCCTGTTTGGGCCCAAGGAAAACAAGACGAAACCATGCAATTGGGGTTCTTGTTTGACAGTCTCTCTCTCTCTCTCTCTCTCTCTCGCTCTCTATCTCTCTCTCTCTCTCTGTCTCTCTCTCTCTCTCTCTCTCTCTCTCTCTCTCTCTCTCTCTCTGTCTCTCAGAGTTCCTGGACATTAGTCGCTTGTTGGGATCTGAATCATTTTAGCGGCACGCAAAAAGTTTTATCCAAGAAGCAAGTCTCAGTGAGCGAGTCTTAGAATGAGGCACGGGTCAACCATGTACCGTTGTAAGCAGTTGGGCATGTTGCACACTACGAGGAAGTGGGTGGTTCTCAAAGAATGCAATGTCAGGGGGCAACATCAATATTGACTGTAGCTCATGGGAATCTATACATTGGCAGTTTCTTGAAAAGGGAGTCTTTGTGGCGTGTTCTATCTCACAGTGCCGCAACGTTCACTGGTCATTTAGACTCCCAACATATCCCTGACAGCTACCACCTGTGGACCCGCTTTTGCGTGACAATGACCCCGCAATTGGAACATTTTGTTCGTGTGTAAGTCCATTTGATAGCAAATTGATTGGCCTCGGAGTCATGTAGCCTTTGTCTTCAAAAACGGTCGTTCGTGGCCTGCTTGGGATTGCCTAGGCTGCAGCAAAGGGTTGTTGCCCCAAGCTTGCCCGACTGAGGCCTTACAAACGGGATTCATGTTTTTGGGGAGGGGTCTTGGGCCGGGTTTTTTCTGCACGATCGTCTCACTGTGTTTACTTTTCCGGTGAGGACACGTTGCCTGGCGAGTTGCCTGAGGAGGCTCGGCCCTCGGATCACGGGTTTTGCAGGTCGGTGTTCGGAGATGCGTGGACCTCCAAGGGGGCGAACTGGCTATTTCCTGTTAAACCCTCAAGGCCTTCAGCTTATCAACTTGGCTTAGGATACCCCCCCCGTCCCAGGTCCATGACGAATGGTCCCCCTCAATAGCCCTGGGGTCTGAACATAGGACTTCTTGGACGGTTTTCAAGGTAGTGGGTAGAGGGACATCATTCTTGAACATGTGCACCGTGCCGCACGCGCGGAAGAAGGTTTGGCAGAAGGGCTCTGTGGAATAAATTTGAAATATGATCTGTTTCAGTTTGCGAGCAGCGCTTTCTGCGCCAATACTCGCAAAAGCAAAGCTTGTAAAGCATGTGCGAGGAAGGACGTGGATTCAAAGCATGAAACATAATTATGTACCGCAGAAGCGGGCCGAAGGAACCCCGTTGGCCCCAACGCTCACCTGGTTGGCCCCCTTTGAGGATTTCCGTTTCGGAGTGATTTCAAGGGGCAACCCACAGAAGACCAACTAGTTGGAGGGGGTTCCCCGCAGATTGAAACACACCCGTATTTAGGGCGTCCTAGGGGTGGCAATCCCAATGCCATGGCCGCGAGCCGTGCTCCCCGCTGTCCGGTTGCACGGCTGGGCAAGAGCGCTGTGTGCGGGGCCACAGGGTTTGGAAGCCGCTTTGGGGCCGATGGATCAGCTGCAGAGAACTTTCGACGAGGTGCTGGTGAGGCCCGGGCGCTTCCCGGGCCACGTGCAGTCGCTGCATTGGTTGGCCCAGGAGGAAAGGCAGCGCCGACAGCGCGTGGTGGATCAAAGCAACATCGGCCCCGGCCTGCAGACGCTGCTGCGTGCGCGAAAGGTGGTCTATGCCATCCTGAGCCGCGACACTGCCCATGTACAAGTCTGCGTCACCAGGGTGTCCTGTGGCCAGGACTTTTTGGAGCAATTGAGCGGCAAGAAGCCTGGTGCCAGGAGGTTGGCTTTCAGCGACCAGGGCCTGCTGCTCTATGTGCTTGAGAGCGTGAACAGCCACGAGATTCCCTTCCACCGGCTCGCCGAGCCCCGACTTCTCCGCTGGGCAACCAAAGTCCGTAGCCTGGCCTTGGTGAACACGCGGCAAAAGGTCGACGTGGCTGCGAGTTATAAGCCATCTGGGTGGCTGGTGGACATGAATCCCAATCATGCTGTCCAAGACTCCCCCCATTTAGAATTCGCACATGTGGCTATGAACAAACGCACAACACCCATTATCGGTGTGTCTTGTTTTAGGGCACCTCCAAAATGGTGGTTTGTTTTCCGTTTGGCTTCCCTTCAAAGCCAATCAAATGGGGGGTACCCTCAGAAAAACAAAAAAAACACATATTTAGGCGTTGGGGCCGCGTCCGCTCCACTCCGAGGTGTGGAGTGAGGTGATGCGCTCCATCATCGATGTGCCAACCCTTGCGGCGCTCTCGAGGGCCTGGGCCTTGGCGCCGGACGCAGCGCCCTCGCCCGCCGGAAGCCGTTGGTGTTGAAAGGTTGCCCAGGTCGCCGGGTTAAAACCTGAGCCACAAGGATGAAAAATAAATAGAGGCTGCCTAAAGTCTTCACACCTTCAGGTGGGTAGACCGTATGGGTCCTGAAAGGTCCGCTGCCGTGTTTGGAAGGGCAGATTTTGGGGATCCACAAATCACCTTTGGTGATTTGGGAGCCATTGTGTCGACCCCGGAGTAATCCACGTGGATTGTCGAAGGATTTCCTCTTGAATGGGACCCCCCCTCAACTCACCCAGGGGTGTTGATGAGTCCTGGATGCCCTCTGAATTTCCCGTTTATGGGGATCTTGTTATTCCTTTAGAGGAACAACTAGCTTTAAAAGGTGGGTGTGAATGTTAGTTGGGGGATTTATGCCCACCAACACCTGGAAGACACTCTAAAACCATCCAGAAATACACTCGAATAAATCCATGCCGATAGAGATTGTGTTGGATGCACGCACTAAGCAAGAAACCTTGCCACTGCACAAGCCACGGCTTCGCTGCCCTAGCGCACGGGATCCCGCGGCCCAGGTGTGCACAGGCTTTCACAAGGCCGGGTTCTAGATTTCTGAGCTTTGCTCAGACTGCGGAATCGGCATTCAAAACAGATGGGAGCGAAAAATGCTTAGGGCGAAAAGTACAAATCTCTCACATTGCTGACATCAAACTACAAAAGTGTTCCATTGCTTCCGTCCGTGCTCAGAATCCCTTTCGAGGTTCCTTCTGTGGCGCATTTGTTCACAGGTTGATCCCAATGCTAACGTCAGATAAATTTCCCCTCCCTCACCCAAAAGGTCAAATCTCAGATAAAGCGGGTTCCGGGGGAGAAGGCGATCTGCAGGAGAAGGTAGTGTAGGTGGCCGCTCTGCGAGATTGAGGTTGGTTACGCCCATAAATTAGATGAAGCTTTTATTCGGCCGGAATTCAACTCAAACATTTTTTGTGTGGGAATTGATTAGCTGGTTACAAGTGGGACAGGGGGGATTATCCATTCCAAGAGTTGCTTTTTAAAGCTTGGTATCCAAGTTGACCATGGTTACCAGAGGTTGGTTGATTCATTGCGCGAGGTTTCATTCATATTAGAGTGTGGTTCCTCTTGAGGGTACCATCGAAAGGAGGAACACCAAAAAGGAAACCGATGCCATTCCGGAGGTCCCCTGGAGAACAATTCACATCCATGGTTCCAACCGTGAAATCCAAGCGGCCCTGGCAGGTGGCTGTGTCTGAGGATGCCTGGCGAGACCGTGTGGTTCGGGTGCCGCCCAGGCCGCATGAAAATAATTCCGAAATGGCCGAGTTCGTGTTTGACGCTCGAGTTCCTGTAGCAAAGGACAAGTTTGGACCTTTTGTGAAAGTGGAAAGCAGCTGCAACGAAGGAAACGGACAGAAATATGAAGGAAAACGATGGCCAACCTGTTGGACCAAAGAGAAGCTTTTGTGGGAAGGTTCCCCAACTCGTTTTAAAGCACCGACTAGATGGTCATTCGCCAGTTCCAATAAAGGGAGGACCGAGGACTTGAAGTTTCGACTGTTTTGCAAGGTGCCACAAACCGTTTGGTATTTGAGGGCTGACACTGCTAATTATGTAAGGCTATCTGAGGGTACTAGAAGGAAGCCCTCAATCTAAAACCAAGGACAAGCTCCAGTTGCGTGCTGCTGCGCTCGCTATGTTGGACGGGTGTGTTTCAGACTAATCGATGGGGTCACCATTTTGTCAACCATAACTATTAAACAAGCGGAGACCCACCTCCTCTGTCCATTTGGAAACACGAACGCAAGGGCCTGAATAAGCCATGTTTTGCAAGGCGGTTGCCCAGGACACCGAGCACAACCCTATCTTGACAGCAGGAAGAGTATCTGTTTGGATACATGAAGGGGGCTGCCAAAAACAGGGGACACCATGTTGGCAAACACAGGTTGCAGGGTGCATGTTCCGCTTCAAGGCTGAATGCTCCGAGGTGGTCAACCAAGGGGGTTGCCAAAATAGGAAGAACCACTCTTTATCAAAACAGAGGGCACTCCATACTGTCAACTACTGCATTTGCGCCACCAAACTCGTGGACCATACTTGCTACCTCCTCATTTCTTGTTCTCCCCAAGTACCTTTCTGCTGAGTCAACCTCTTTGTTCCGTTCTCCATATTGTTTGTTACTTTCTCACCATAGCTTCATTTTACAGCATTGACCGCGTTTCCTGGTATTCAATACTCGAGGCCCCCTTGTTCCTCCCTTCAGTGGCCCTTCCGCGCAATGCCCTTCTTGTTCAGGGTAATCTTTCAAATAGGTATGTGTGTCCATCAAGGGCATGAACATATACTCCAAGCTTGCTTGTGTGTGCCTTAGACAAATATACTCTAAGGGGATCCCCCCCTCTGCATCCATTTGTTTTCCCCGAATACCTCCAGTCAACACCTCTCGTTCCATGTTTGTTTTTGCGAGCCATGTTTCTCTTTTTGTTCAACCCCCCCCCCCCTCCCCCCCCCCTGCATATAACAACGTCAACCCGCCATCCATGTCCCGGATGTATTTTCAGTTCAGAAGCTTTCCCAGACATCTTTCCCACCCCTCCCACCCCTCCCACCCCTCCCAAAACAAACAACCACTGGGTACACCCATCCCCCTCCCCCCAAAAAGAAACAGGGGGAAACAAGACTCCTTTTCCATCCATTTTTCGGCCCTGCCCGTACGATGGACACTGACAGTCTATTTTGCAACCTGTTCTTTGGGGATACTTAATTGTTGTTAGGGTGTGAGTCTACAAGGCTGCCTCGACGTGTTCCTGGCATCCCCCCCACCCCAGAAAGAAAAGGAGACATCAGCGTGTATTTAGTCCTTTCCATTTACCAAACCAACCCATTGTGGGGTTACCAATTTGATCTTTGACAACCACAGCCACATGGTTGGTTGATGCTACAGTGAAACCCTTCCAAAATTGGCTGGATCTCAGGGCAGCTTAGGCAGGAAAATCCAGCCACCTTTCCATAATACCAGGGCAACCCATTTTTGGGGTTACCAAATCGATTTTTGACAACCACCGCCAAAACGATTTTTGACCACCACCGCCAAATGGCCATGGCTAAAATGGGCGGTTAGCACCCAACCAAAATGGGATCCACCCCACCCCATTGGCTTTGACAACCCAGTTTCTTCTCCCCGCCGTCGGCGCCTTCCGTCGAACCTTCGGTTCCCCAGTTGCCTGGAGCACCTGGCGCCGCATCTGAGCTGCTGGCCCGGGCCTTCGGCTCTCGCGGGTCGGGCCCCGCGAAAGCCCCGGAAAGCGACAGGTGACGCAAGGCCGACCCAAAAAAGCGGCACGGGTTTTTTCGGTGAGTTTTTTTTTTGGGGGGGGGGAGGGTCCTCTCACCAATCACTTGGTGGTTTTTTGAGCTTTCCTTTGGGTCCTGTCACAAATTTCAAATGCCATTTGGGGTGGTTCAAGATCAACCCTTGAGCCCGCGGATGTGGTGGCCCTTGTAGTGCGGTCCCAATGCGGATTACGGACGAGGTTTTACTAGGCATCCCCCCCATGTGGAACAACCTGGCAAAGACACAATCAACCAACTTGTTTGGGGAGGAGAACAATACATATCAACCCAGAAGAAAGAGAGTGTCGTTGTTTGGGGCTACCAAATGAAATCCACCGAAAGAAACAACGTATTATGTTTGTTTTCTCTCCATGGACCAACGGATAGTCAGCGGGAAATTGGCTGGGCCCTTTTACATGCAGCGAACAAGACAGCGTGACGGGAAATACTGAGCCAACCTTCTGCCCGAGCAGCTTGGCCGGCGTATCATGGGCCTGTTTTAAGATTGCCAGGGCCTGAATTCAGGTGGTAGCGGGAAGACGAAGAGCGAACCCGAAACTTGAAACGCTTTTTGGAGGAGTGAGACACACCAATGTCATGATTGGCAATTTTGAGGGGTTTTGCAGAGGATGTGACCCCTGAAGAGAATGGCCCCATTAGAAGACACGAGATATATTTGGTCGTGTCGATAGTCTCCACAGGTATTCCATGATCAGTTGCCCAAAGTGCTTTTCGTTTTTTGCCCCAACAGCTTTCAGCCACGTCGATCCCAGAAATCGGCTCGGGGCAAGGTTCCGGGTTCCGGTTGCAGGAAACAGACACGGGTTTGTCTCATGGGCTACACTTCTGGGTTTCCCAAAAAACCATCCACCTCCATGCCTTGGTCAAAAACACCTGAGCTGAAGTTGTTTTTTGGGGGTTCCCCACAAAAATGGCACCTTCTCACCGCAGAAGAAAAAAACAGATGCCGAGTGCAATCTGCCTGGAGGCTGGAGGCCTGGGCTGCAGCCAAGAAGCTGGTGCGCCTTCGTGGCGGCACGGTTGGCTCAAGAAATCTGAGACCACCTCAAAAGCGGCTTGATGCGGGTTGTGGCCGTGTCACCACGATGTCCAAAAATCCCCAAAGTCATGAATGCCTAGAACTGTTCACCCTGGTGCCCAAGGTCAACGCAAGTTGGGATACTTTTTTGGGGGGGAAACTCTCCGAACTCGAGGTACTGCCCCGGTCAGCGCAGCTTTTGAAGCAAGTGGCCCAGCAAGCCCCGGCGATCCCCGTGGAGGCCGGGGTAACACATACTGTGGGTGGAGGAGATCCCACTCGGCACCACTAAATGAAACCATGGTTGAAACCATGACGTTTGTTGGCATCTACAGGGGGACTATGAGAAACCAGGGGTTCTTCGGTGATGCGAAATGGATTTCGTCCATCCACAGTAGTGATTTAGAAACCCAACGGACCTCCTTTTGTGAAAAGGTGATGGTGATCCCTCCAAAATGCGGGTTGGGTTTAGTTTGTGCCGTGTATATTTGCAGGATCATATCTTCGGTATGTGCAACATGGGGGGTGCCAAAGAGAACACGCCCCGCGGATCTGATTCGCGGAAAGGCAGCCACAGACAAGCGACTCCTAGAGGGACACAACAGGAACCTCAACCATGAATGGTGGGGCCCTGTATTTTTTAGACATGCACACACACACACACACACACACACACACACACACACACACACACACACACACACACACACACACACACACACACACACACACACACACACACACACACACACACACACACACACACACACACACACACACACACACACACACACACACACACACACACACACACACACACACACACACACACACACACACACACACACACACACACACACACACACACACACACACACACACACACACACACACACACACACACACACACACACACACACACACACACACACACACACACACACACACACACACACACACACACACACACACACACACACACACACACACACACACACACACACACACACACACACACACACACACACACACACACACACACACACAGCACACGTGCGCACCCGCGCGCGCACCCGCGCACCCGCACACCCGCACGCCCGCACGCCACGCACGCACGCACGCACGCCCGCACGCCCGCACGCGCGCACGCGCGCAACGCCTGCGCGCACGCGCACGCGCGCACGCGCTCGCGCACGCGCACGCGCACGCGCACGCGCACACGCACACGCACACGCACACGCACACGCACACGCACACGCGCACGCGCACGCGCACGCGCACGCACACGCACACGCACACGCACACGCACACGCACACACGCACACACACACACGCACGCACGCAAATGCAGGGTTGAGCAAGCATGTCACAACTCAGACTCGGCTTTTGCGTGTTGGTTCTGGTTTAAGACGGTCCCAATTTTGAGGCATTCCATATGATGTTCAATAAAACTATCCGGAATTCTTGGTCAATGGACACTGGGGACTCTCTAAATTTGCCAGAAAAAGGAAACAGCACTGTCCGTATTTACTAGGGGTGACCATCAAATTCTAGGGCTGCGCCCGACACCAGCTGGCTGTCCTGTAGAGAAAGGACCCCTCCCCGTGCTTGGACACGAATCCCCAAACTATGATGTGGGGGTTGATCAGAAGGTCCGTCATACATGGGGCACCATTGGGCAAACCACACAAAAAGATGACTTTCACCACTAACTGGGAAAGTTACCCATGGTCATTTTGGGGCCAGGAATATTGATCAACCCCCATGTCCACAAAAGGGTCCTTCTTCAACTTTGCGACGTGATCTACCGCTCAGAACAGTCGATGTCAGGTGAGTTGGCGATTCGACCGACACCTCAAAGGCGATGGTGTAGAGGTGCGCAGGGAGGAACTCGCCGCCGAATCGCCACGACTAGGGGACCTCCAATCGTAGGATTGCACCTGATGTCCTCCAAACAAGAAAAAGATGTGTCGTAGTTGGAGTGACGCCTCTAAACAGCAATTACTTAGATCAAATTAGTCAGGGAAAGAGGGTGTAGTCTGAAATTCGATGGGGCCCCACAACCGCAGTTTATCAGGGGGTGTTTTTGTGGGTTTAGTGCGGCATCACTCTTTGTGGGGAACACTAAGATGGGCTCGATTATGACTCGACTATGAACCTAGGTATCAAATGTCACTAAACCCCCCCTTTCTCTTGGCCAAATATGTCTCGATTCTGACCAACCGACCACCAAGGGGCCCAAAAAAGGGAATTCGGAAAGGGGATGTCGGAACGCGATGAGCTGGCAAGTTTTGCATTCCCCCGCACTTTGTATGGGGTCTTCAAAGGGGCCCTTTGACACATTTCCCGTGGCTTCACTTGGTCGGCAAGGAGACTGATGTAGACCAAGGGGCTCTCATGCGGGTGGGGATGTCCGTGCGGCATTCGCAGGTCGTGCAGCATGGACGGGCAGTGCGACGAGTCGCAGAAGAGGCTCGACGCTCAGGGAAACCCCTTGAAGCCGCCATTTCGAGAGTGGTTTTGAGGCTAGAGGTCCTGGCCCAATTTGGTGCAAGCCCAGCAAGAAACAGGGGTAGGATAGGGATTGACGGTCCGGGCCATGGACGCTCTATTCTTCTTTTGGACGTGCTGAGTATGCGTCCCTCCAAAAGTACGTTTAGTTTGTTTGGGGTAGGTTAAATTTTAACATATTAAACAGAATCAACAAATATGACGATTCTCTGTTAACCTCGCAGATCGGTGGTGGATTGTTTGACATGAGAACACCAGCAAGTAGGGGGCCCAAACACGGGAAAACCAAACCATGGGTCTATGGCTACCTTGAGCTCATCCATTTGTTTTTTACTGCATGTTTGTTTCCATCGGGCTTGTATGGTTTCGGGGTTTCGGCAGGCTCGGGATGATGACAGTCCGTGATTTGGCAGTGTTGCTCAACGAGCCGACGAAACCACAGTGCTGATCGGGTGAAATGGAGCAGCCGCATTTGGGAACCCCGGCCCGGTGCCTGTGGTTGTAACTGTAACCCTTTCAGGTTCCTTTTGAAGCCCCTGCCAGGATTCTGTCAATTTTGGAGGACAACCGCAATTTTGAGGAAACCTTTGCCCTTTTGGGGGCAAAGGGAAACCCAAGGGGCACGGAAGCCCAAAACACACCCTCCCAACGAAAAAAGGAAAGGAGTCAAGGGTAAAGGGAGAAGCCCAAAGAAAAAGCAAAAAGCCAGCGGAGACCGCGGCGTTCCCATCGTCAGGAGCTGGTGGTGCTTGGAGATGCGGCGCTCCCCTGCGCGACGCGCCTCCCGTGCGCCGGTTGCGGGTTGCGGGTTGCGGGCTTCCCCAAAACACGCGGGCCCTCGTTTTGGAGGGAATTTTGCAGGTTTTGGATGGATTTTTGCAGGTACAGCTGGCAAACAGGAGCTTAGCCTTAGTAGTTCTGCGAAAGCATGCCGCTTTGTTGGACAGCCAGAACATAACATAGATTTGCAAAATGTGGCGAGCTTTCGTAGATTGGGGGGACTCCCCCCTTACACCCTGTCCATTAAAGCGCAAAGCGGACAATGAATCCATTACTTTTGGTGGGTATCTTTCAGGGTTGATGGGATCTCAACAGTAGATGGCAAGGTTGGTGGCAGCATTGATTTTAACAGCCAGTTGCTGCAGGTTGCCAGGTACCCGCATTCGGCAACATCTGGTTGCACCCCCCTTCGTTGCCTCGGGCCTTGAAATGTCAGGCCCGAATGCGAGACACTTGAATGGCTGCAGGTATTTGGAGGTTCATTTGGACAAGTGCGGCGAGGCAGGAAGAGAAGCATCAGCAACAGCACACCCAGGGTTAGGAAGGTTTAGGGACAATCAAAGTTCATCATCCCAACACCTTTCACCACTTGGGCTCAACATTTTACCAGTGCTGAGTTCAAACCACAACACGTTCAGACTCAACTCACTGTTTTGCCCTTTTTGCCCTAGCGTTTGCCCTTTTATGCAGCT